TTGCAAGAACTGACCTTTACGGATCAGTTGGAATACTTTTAAAGTTCTGAATATCTGAGAGGTGGTTTCGGGGTGCAGTCCATTGCAAGTTTAGACAGCAGAAAGGACCTACAACTCCCACCATTTTCCAGCTAACTATGTTGGCTGGGGTGTGCCAGGAATTGTAGACCTTTTTCTGCCTAAAGTCACATAGGATTGTGCCTTTTAATTGTTTCGATTCAGGCATTTGTGTTTGTGCATTGCCATTGTGAGTGGGGGTGGGGGTGTGACAATGTGCTTATCTTACCATCTCAGTCATTTTCTTGCTGCCCCCATTAAAACAGGAAATCTTCTCTGCTTGTGTGCACATGCTTTACAACCGTGTGCATGATTTATTTCAAGACTCTAGATTTTAATTGAAGGCAATGAAAAGAGAGCAAGATCCCTGTTTCATACTTTCCTTTCAACACTCGGAAGGCAATATGGGTGTGATGAAGAAGGTGGGGCATGAAGCACAGCTTAATTCTCCTACCCTCATATGATGATGAGCTCATGAATTGGAACATCTGAACAGGGCCATCCTTTCACTTCAAAATGGCAGCTACTGGGGATTGTTCAGGGCTTCCAAGACCAAATACTGGTACTGCAATATGGTATGTCAGTTTGCAAATATATGGTGATTCATAGAATCCATAAAATATTTATCAAGTTTAACTTTGCTGTTGCATTTTGTCACTAGACTGCCAACAAGATATTCCATTTTCTTTCTGCATGTATTTCACCTTTGTTTTGTCTTTGAATACAAATATTTTCAAACTTACAGATTTTACTGCAGATATTCTAAATAATAATGTGCTTCAGCTGACCAAAGTGTCATAAGCTCATTCTTTCAAGATACCTATTATTGAAAGCTATAATGTACTTCTCAATAATAATTAGTTAATAGTTCCAAGTATCTAAACTATGCAAATATACTGTATGTTGTTAGATATTACATATACCATAATATCCAGTAACAGTAATGGAAGTTTAACTGTGGGGTTTATTTCAAAGATGAGTGTGGTGTTGATCAGTTACACAACTTAGTGCCTTTGATAAAACATGTTTCAATCTAAATAATTTATGTTAACAAGTTTGCTTTTACTGCCCAATGCTTTTCAAAGCTTCTAAAAATATATACTACCACTCTACACGACTCTGGTGCGCCCGCAATTGGAGTATTGTGTTCAGTTTTGGGCCCCTCATTACAGAAAGGATATAGCCAGGTTGAAGTCAGTGCAGCGTAGGGCCACAAGGTTGGTGGCTGGTTTGCAGGGGATGGGGTATGAGGCGAGACTGAGGGAACTGGGTCTCTTCAGCCTGGAGAAGAGGAGACTCAGAGGGGATGTCAGATGGGGATGAACAGAGACCTGTTCTCCCCTGCAGAGGAAGGCAGGACATGCTCCAATGGAGCAAAGCTCAGGGAGCCAAGGTTCCATGTGGATGCCAGGAAGCACTTCCTGACAGTCACGACCCCGAGGGTGTGGAATGGGCTTCCACAAGAGGTCGTTGAGGCCCCATCGGTGCGGGTGTTCAAGGATAGGCTGGACGTCCACATGGTGGGCATGTCGTGAGTGGAGCCAGCTGGTGCTGGAGGTCAGACTAGATGGCCCGGGAGACCCCTTCTGACTCGCTCTGTTTCTATGTTTCTATATTCTGTACCTTTAATAGTACTTCCACATTCCTTTGATGAAACTGTAAAACTTCAGGCATGCCACAGGTAACTTGATTTTTGTTCTGCTCAGTATGAAGATTGTTCTTTATAAAAAAGAAAAAGAGAATCACAGAGAAAAACGCAACATCTTGTCATTGTAGAATACATTGTGTATAATGTGTTAGGGTTTAAATGATAGAGGCAAGCACAATACTTTGCCTAAGGTTTATGGAAAAGTGTTTTATTGTAGGGTTCTAATGAAAGAACAATTAGAAAAAGATAGATTTTGGTGATACAAAGGGATCAGTCCCGGGGTGGGGTGCCATCCCCTCTTTGGAAAAGAAGCTCCTATGGTATATCATAAACTGCTTTTTGAACTTCCTGTAGTTTTATTAATTACCTTGTTGTACAGTAGGTTTCTGTTCATGAAGCAAACTTCCATGGAAGAAAAGAAGTAATCACATAATTCCTTGTACTTTTAAGCATCTGAATTATTGCTAGTTATATTGGGCTAGATCTAACAGATGCACAAGTAGAAGCTTCCCGTGTATGCCCCCAAATGCATTCTGGAGAATTTCCTGACCCTCTGAAGCATATTTGGTAGGGACCTTTCAGTAGGCGGGAAAAATTATTCTGTTTTACTAGATGATCATCAAGTCCAGTCATTGTAATAAGGAACTCAAAGCAGTTCCTGTATAATTAGTACAGAATAGGTAAAGTTTTCTTTAATTGTATCCCTGAGAATTCATTGTTCTGCTAGATTCAATTTAGCATTGAAATGGTGTATTGACTGAATGGCAAAAAAGGTTATTTACAAGATATTTGCATTTCAATGAAGGGAATAGTGATTTAACTTCACCTTGCTCTTAATGAATTCAAGTCTTCTTGGCTTGTCAAATTGCTTCTAAGGTACAAAAAGGACTTGCAGATAAAATCTCAAAGACAATGTCTATACCTTTGGGTGAATAGGTGAAATGCTGTGAGCTTGGGGAGATCACAAATCCATACCAATCTACAGTAAAACCACCAGAGATTTACCAGTAAACCCAAATCTACTGTTTTCTGACTCCTAGAATACTCTAGGCTGCTGTTAAGTGGACCATGTGCAAAAGGGGTACTCACTGACTGTTCCTAAACCTGGAAAGGAGTGAGAAGTGGCGGTCAGTGCAGTGTTGATTATGTATGACTTGGACAAAGGAATAGAAGAGATGCTTATCAAAACTGTAGATGCCTCCAAACTTCTATACGAAGATGAGTTACAGACGATTTTTCTGTCCCTGCTAGAAGATGAGAGTGGCTTTGTGAAATCACCAAACTGATCAATATCAATATTGAGAAACTTCTTTGAGAGCAACCATGGAACACAGTAGGCTATGGTAGCAAAGATGTTCTAGCTGTTCATACTTCATGATTTTCTTTAATTTTATTGTTCAGATATTATAGAAACCCAAGAGTTTGGTGGGCTAGAGTGACAAAGTTCATTTTGACTATCCAAAGGGAAAAAGATACAGCAGTAAAAAGAGTGAATAAGGGAAATTAGGGAGCTAAGGCACCTGCATGTGCCCCCTAGGAATGTGTTGCTCACCCTACATTAGAAAATAGAAATGGGAATTCCAGATTGTATTGACAAGATGAAGAACAGGTGTGAAATCTAAATAGGTGAATTACAGCAAGTTAATATAAAGTTCTCCTTTTAGGTTGCAAGATCCAGCTGTGTAAAAAAAATATCTGACACCTGTGATAGAGTTCTAATGGTTTTATTAGACCATAAATTGAGCACGTGTCAGTAGTGTAATGTGGAAGTAAAAATGGCTTATGAAAGTATATATTCATTAACAGAAGTATAATGTTCAGGTTGCGAAAGGTCAAGCTACCGTTCCCTGCTTTGGTCAGTCATTATTTAATGTACTGCAGCATAAGAAGAATATTGACTAACTGGAATATATCTAAAAAGTGGGCAACCAAGTTTGTTGGGAAAATGGAGATCAAGTGCTATAAGGGAAGGTTTGAAGGAGTTATGTATGTTTGGTCTGGGGAAGAGAGGCGATGATACCATTTAAAATTATTTAAAGGACTGTTTCCAGTTGCTAGTGGTTCGTAAGCATAGGTTAAATCACCACCTGTAAGGGGTATTGAAGTACTGAGTTTCATGCATTGGCTAGGGGTTGGACTAAATGACCTCTGAGAAATGTTTCTAATTATTTTTCCCTAACTGGTCTATCTTTCAGAATGACAATGTTATGCTATTGATGAAGGCTGTAGCTTCTCTTACAAATGTAGGGCTAGAGTTCCATTCTGTTAAAGAATGGATGTGTCTTTTATACAAAATGTATATGTGTGGTGGCCAACCAGCATTGTCAGAGTGCCTTACAAAATAGTAAAAGTATAAATATGGTAAAACAATAAAAGAAGAACATGATACATGATTTTAAAAACTCAATCAATAAATATAGCATCTGAAAATAAGCAAGAACTTCAAATTTTAATAATGTTAAGTTGTAGGTGGCAGTTTGCTTATAATCATGTAAAAATTTACTATAAAGGTTACTCAAACAGCTAAATAGCTGTTAATCTTCTATCTCAGGACTACTGATCAACAAAAGTGTGACTCAGCTTCTTCAACTGATATGCTTTTCACTTAGTTATAAACTGGAAGGATATAAACTTAATAACTAACTGTAGAAAGTATATCAGTTCACTACTGACAGCTTGCCTTCAAATTACCTGTGAACATTTTCAAGTTAGTCTACCCAGCTAATATCTCTTGCCAATGCTTTCCAAGCATAACTGCCCCATAGTCTTTCACAACTGCTAGGCTGTCACCCACATATTGTCTCTTTCTCAAGACACCTAAGAAGCCACCTTCCCCAAGGCAAACTACAAAAAAAACCCAAATAAAGCCAGGGAGTATTGAAAGCCAGAAAAAAGCAAGTTCATAGTAAGTCCATAGCTTCTAAGATTAAAATACACTAAAAGCCTGGTGGAATAAACATGTCTTAATTGCATGTCTAAAGAACATCTGGGAAGGAGCCAGACTTTCCTTTCTTATGCAAGAGTTTCAGAATTTGGGTGATGCAACTGAAAAGGTGTCATTGCCAATCATAGTCATTTGTTGATGGAGACTAAACAAATTACTTGTGCTATGTCTAACTATATTTTAATTTTGTTTAATATAACACTCCAGAAAGAATAATGGTAAATTATATTTATAAGTAACTTACTTCTCACACTGGTAATTATATTTTTTGTGTATGTATGTGGGGTGTGTGTATGTGTCTTAAAAACTGGAAATAATGACTGCCAACTGTTTCCATCTTACAATAATCAGGAAAGTCACCTGGAGAGGTTGTCAAGAGAAAAGCTAAAGACCAAGGTATTTTGTTGTTGGATCCTTAGTGGTCTGTATTGCATATTGATTTGTAATGCCTGCAATGCATGTGTTTTGCTATCTTGGTAAATGTGCATACTAATTCTCAGTGGTTTTTGTATCAAACAGGATACTTAAAAATATGGAACAAAAGTATTTAGAAATAGGTTAGAGTTTTTAATAGTTTTTAATCCCCATTAAATCAATAATATTGTAAACTCTAATCCAGCTATCTATACATGAAAGGAAGTTTCTTGTACATCTGCTGGATGGGAAACCCTTTGTTCAAATGGATGCAATACATGCAATCCTGAAGGAGTACTTATGCCTCTATGTATGTTTTCAGGTTCAAAGGTCAAAATTAGATTTCTGCCAATTAACTTTTCTGAAATAAAAGCAGGTCTCTGGATTTAGTCCTCCTAGTCCTTGCCAATATCTTACAGATAGAGTTCTGGATTTTTTCCTCAGCTGTGTGCATAGATTAGTGGCTGCTGGGTAATTCTTTTGAACTGAAGTCTTTGGGCAATAATTTTAATCATTTTATAGATAAGGTGTCTGTACTATGCATAACAAATGAAAACCGGTATGTGGCTTTCATATATTAGGCCTATATAAATTAATTTAAACATTTCCTGAAGGAGGAATATAGTTAGAGTCTGTTCCTTTTTTCTATATTGAGATTGTAATATTTGTCATTCTGAGGAATTTAATAATCTTGCCTAACTTTATTTTTCAGTGCATGACTTTTCTTCTGTGATAAATAGGTTATAAGTGTAAATAATGTATTGGATGCTCAGTGCCTGACATTAGCAAAGTCATCTTAAATTTATTTCCATTTGCTCAAGGGAATGAAAATACGTGTGGGAGTAATCACTAATGTCATTTTACTGTAACTGTCCTTTATAAGTGCATTCGTCTCTTCATCCTTAAAACTGATGTTCAGGAGAACTGAAGAGAAATGGTTATCTAAGGGCCTTCACAAATGTATAGTTCCCGGCCCTTATTAAGAATGTGGGTATGGGTACGGGCAGTGTCTTGGAAAGAACAGCCAACAGAAGAGATTTTAATTCAATTTCTTCCTCCTGAATATTTCCTGAAAATGCTTCCTCCAAATCTGTCTTTCATTCAGTTCCAGTTTTGGAGTTCAGTGGTAGGGAACTGTCCAAAGTGAACATTTTCCGGAAAAGAATTATGTACCTGTCAGTTTCCCCTTCTCTCATGGTTCTTCTGTGAGACCTAGTAAGGTCCTGAACAATAACACTAGTAAGCATGTCTGGGTGTGCTGCATGGCCACTAGTATTTGACTGGATTTAAATTTGATTTGCATTGTTCTTTAAAATAATGGTATTTACTTGCTAATAATGTAATTGAAAAATACATAAACGTTCTAAATGTTCAGGAAGATATTTTGGTATCAGAATGAAAGGAGGTTAGGATACCTCACCCTCTCTTTTTCAGTGATAACCTCTGGCAGAATAAAAAATTCTGTTTGGATTTAAAATATTACAGATGCATATTATCCCTACATTATTTTTAAATTTATGTTTTTACACTCAAAGTTTTTAAGTGTCAGAGGCTGTTTAGAAAAAAAATTGTGCTGGAGGCAGTACTTCACTTGGCAGCATTCCAGCTTCTATATATGTTTTAAAAATCTGGAGATGCAGAAGTTGGCAGGTTCATAAGGAGGCATCTGTGAATGTTTTATTGGGGGCCACAAGTTGAACATCTGAGTTTCAGTTAAAATAATTTGAATGAACCTCAGTGCATGATTGCACTGACTTTATTTTTTCTCTTCCGACCTCCCAATTTTATGTTGTTTAGAATTTATTTATTTGGGTATTTTTACCCTGTCCAATGTGTTGCGGGTCTCTGGATGGCAGAGTAATGAATAGTAATAATTAACAATTATTATATAACCCTATCTAAAATTAATCAAAACCATCATTATAGCAATAAAATACAGGAGACTGAGTTTAAACATGATCCAAAGGTTGGAAGAATAAATGTTTTCAACAAATGTGGAAAAGATTATGAAGTAAGTCCCAGAAAAACATGTTCCTTGTAGTTATTCCACTGATCCTTGTATGCATGAAGGTGATTGAGGCAGGATGATGTTCTTAATGCAAGGACATAATTATGCAGGAGACAGTGTTAATTCAGATACTGGCCCATTTAGAACTTTACAGTGCAAAACCTGCACTTTGAATTGTACTTGGAATCAGAAAGCCAATGGAAAAACCTTTGAAATTGGTGGAATACTGTCCACACAAATAGTATGAAATAACCCTGTTATATTTTGAATATGTACTAGCAGTTGTTTACAAATGATTTTCATATGCAGTCCCTTGATGTTGCCAAGTCATAGCTAGCGGTGACAAAATTTAATGTTTAGAGTTTAGCAAAAATCTCTTAAACTAATAGAAAAACAAGTTGGATGATTACCAAAAGATCTTTCTCCAGAAACATTTTAAAAAGGTACAAACCATTTTAATGCAATTCTTCTGCAACTAATATGTATGAGCAAGTTCTTTTGAAGTGGAAACATGAGTATGTGTTCCGAAGCTGGAATGGAAATAATTTACTTGGACTACTAAACTCTAGTTTTTGTAATGTCTGTTTTTTAATGAACATTTCCCTTTCTTAAATGGAAAAAATTGAAAAATTAAAAGAGATCAAAGAATCAACCAAGAAAGTGAAAGAAAAGCAAGAATTAAAGAAGGAAGCAAAAGATGAAGAAAAGAAGAAAAACAAGAGAAAGGCTGATGACTTGGACAGAAAGGATAAGAAAGTTGCTGATGATAAATCCAAGAAAGAATCTGACAAAGTTAAACGAGATAGGAAAGCAGAAAAGGAGAGGGAGAGATCAGGGTTAGACAAGAATCTGAAAAATAAAGACCTAAAAGAATCGGCAAGTGGCAAAGATAAGGAAATAAAGATAGCTAAAAGCTTTTCTAAAGCATCTGACAGTTTAGCAAAGGAAGAAACGAGAAAAAAGTAATATTTTTCATATTTGAATATTGCTTCAATCACACCAGATAGCCAAAATACTAAGATAAGTAGATATAGCATCAGTTAGGCAATTTGTTTTGACCTTGTTAGAATTTTAAAAATGCACTATCATTTGTACCATCAGCCTTACTATATTTATGAATTTGTAAACAGAGTGCTATGAAATTCCAATTTGTACATAGTTTGTCTGATCATGTCTTGTACATTATTTTTGTACTGTGATCAGTTACATGATGGAATTTAGTTTTTGGTATTCAGTATGTTATATGGATGGCTAATACAAAATAAAGAGAAGATTCAAACATTTGCAGGTGTTATTTGATGTAGGACAATATTTGCTTCACCCTGTGAGTCGGAAGTATTATTGAATAATGAAGTGAAATATGGGACCAGTTCTCACTTTCTAATTTTTTGTGTTCAAAAATCAATTTTATACACCCACTGCAGTGCAAGGTATCAATACCTTGTATATATGTCCTAGAAGATGTAAAATAATAAGTGCTTGCTAACTAATCAGACAGTAAATACATGAAAGCATAAGAAATGTGAAGACGTAAGAAGACCAATTAAGACGAGAATGAGTATAACATCGATTAAAAAATTAGTTTGACATATAGAATCATAGAATACTAGAGTTGGAAAGGGCCATGAAGGCCATTGAGTCCAACCCCCTGCTGTTGCAGGATACCAGTTTACACCATCCCATTCAGATGACTGTCCAGTTTCTTTTTGAATATCTGCAGTGTCAGAGATACCACGAGCTCCCCAGGCAACCAGTTCCACTGTCTTATTGCTCTGGCAGTGAGGAAAATTTTCTTGATATCTGGGTTGTGGGAACTTGATTATTTTGTGTCCTACACTCTGGTATCAGCAAGAAGAGATCTTGGCCTTCCTCTTTGTGACAGCCTTTGAGGTACTTACAGAGGGCTACCATGCCCCCCCCCCCCCAGTCTTCTCTTCTCAAGGCTGGACATGCCCAGTTCTCTCAGTCTCTCCCCTTCATAGGGCAGTGTTTCCAAGTCCAGTATCATTATTGTTGCCTTCCTCTGGACCCTTTCTAATGTACCTGCATCTTTCTTAAATCTTGGTGCCCAGATCTGGACACAGTCTTCCAGATGAGATCTGACTAGTGAGGAATATAAAAGAGCTACTACTTCCCATGATTTGGAAGTAATACTTCTGTCAATGCATCCCAAAATAGGTTTTGCCAGCTGCATTGCATTATTGGCTCATACTTAACCTGTTGTCCACAATTACTCCAAGATCTTTTCCTTTCAGTTCTGTTGGGCCACATATTCCCCATCTTGTATCGATGCATTTGAATCTCATTCTGTTGCTTTCAGCCCAGCGTTCAAGTTTATCAAGATTGCCCCGAATCTTCATTCTGCCTTCTACAGTGTTTGCTACTCCACCCAGTTTTGTATCATCTGCGAATTTGCTTATCTTTCCTTGTGCTTTCTCATCTAAATCATTAATAAGATGTTGAAGTGCACTGGGCCCAGGACTGAACAGTTTGGCACCCCACTAGTTACCCCCAATCAATCTGAGAAGGTGCCATTGTTGACCACTCTTTGGGTCCAATTTAGCAGCCAATTTTGGATCCACCTAATAGTTTTTCTGTCCCAATTTTTTCTTCTCAGAATGTCATGTGGCACTATGTTGAAAGTTTTGCTAAAATCTAGGTAGATTATGTCCACGGTGTTCATTCTGTTCATCTGGGAGATTACCTAATCAAAAAATGAGATTAAATTAGCCTGACAGTATTTATCCTTGAAAAATTCATGTTGGCTTCTATTAATCACTGCATTTTCTTCAAGATGCTTGCAGATGGATTTTTAAATAATTTGCTCCAGAATTTTTCCAGAGATTGATGTTAGACTAACTGGTCTATAGTTCCCATGTTCATATTTTCCCCTTTTTGAAGACAGGGACGACATTAGCCCTCCAGTCATCTGGCCCTTTTCCTGTTTTCCATGTTTTGTCAAAGGTAATAGCCA